TTTTTTCACTTCAGCAGGTGGGTACAAAAGCTTATGCTCTAATAAATTTGTTAGTCTCTAAGGTGCCACAAGTACTCCTGTTCTTTTCACTTTTTAGATAGTCAATTTATGGAGCTGGCTTATACATGGATCAGCTTAAATGTGAATATTTATGGCAACCAATCATTTCTAAGGGCATTTTTTTGTAATCCTTTCTCATTTATTCCTATAGTGAAAAATAATGACCTCCTTTTCACTGTGATGGGAAACAAACGAATACAAAATCTCAGTACATCAAAAAGATGCCAATAGATTAAACAGAAATAACTATTCCATAATACAATAAAAGTAGATAAAATTCAATATGCATCAAAGTAAATTTCAGATGCAATTTCTACATCTCCAGAGTAAACATTACTGACAAATTTATAAACACTCATAAATTTTTTTCCATGGGGTGGATATAAGTATTCACTAGTCTAGAAAATTTCAAGTGGAATTTGTAGAATTGCCTACTAAACAGATTACATCACCCAGTGAAAGCACCTGCAGTTTTCTCAATATAACACTTTTCTGTTGCTGTGTTGTTCATTGGCATCTGCAGTTTATAACATACCAGCTGACATAATGGGGGGTAAGTCAACTGTCTCACAGATTGGCCTCCTGAAGTTCTTCACCAGCTACCTTTAGGATATGATGCATGCCTCTTTTTTGGGACTCCTATCCCTGCTGTCTGGCTGTTGTATTTTGCTACCCCTATTCATCCTCATGTGTTAACTGGGAAGCATCCACTTCTACAGAACGGAAACTGAGGTGTAGAAAGTTTATGTGACTTTCTTAAGATCATGCAGCAAGTCAGTAGCAAACTGGGGAGCGGAACTCAAGTTTTCTAAGCTCCAGGAGCCTATGTAAAATCACTGGATCACACTGCCTTTGCATTAGTTCAGCATAAGGTACTTACATATCTATGGATAGAAGCCTACTACATATTTAAGTAAATTTAACAAAAACGTTTCTTCATTTATGTTCAGTGAAACAGAGAAGAATGGTAAGAAGGGGATGTTAATGCTTTTGGGTGTGGAGGGAGGAAACAAACAACAAAAGGCCAGATTTTCAAAGCTCTTTTTCAATGGGAGATCTGCACAGAACATTTGGGCATTGGCACAAACCAGTCAAGCAGTCGCTTGCATAAGCAGATAGTTGTGTGCGCAGTTATCCAACCAGAGGGGTTTCACAGGCACAACTGATATGTACATATTGCATGAAGCTCATCCAGATGAGTTTCAACCCAATGCAGAGGGCCAGCACAAAGCATATGCACCAGCTAAATCCTGTTAAGCCCTCTAAGGTGGTGTGTGGACCTTGTACTGGATCATTACACAGGGGTCAATTTCACATCCAGTTTAGAGATCTTTGAAAATCTTGTTCCAAAAAATGACATGGATTTTGCAGAGAATGTTTAGATTAATTAAAAGGCAGCTGATATTGTGGCCTAATCAAACTTGCCAGCACCCCTTCACTCTGGGTATTCTTCTCTGTCTCCATGATGGTTTTCATGATATACAGCTTTATTTATTTATTTTAAATCATTTCCATTATCCTGTAAGTCACTGTGTTATGTGCAGCAGGATGCACCCAACTGGAAGTAGAAGTTGCATATGGGCACAGATAAGAATTAGATTTTGATGTCGTAGTCTACTTTGAGTGACAGTATGTCTCAAGTCCCCTTGGATCTGCTTCCTTATAAGTTCACAAAGGAAAAACACAAGTGAGGTGTGAGCAGAGAATAAGCATGTCTGACTAGACCCGGGATGAAAGATAATCCTTAACATCCTCTGAGGCATTTACCTATATGCTCCTTTCATGGCCTTGCTCTTGCTATTAGACAGGATAATTTTATGACCACACCAGAAATCATTAACGCAAGACAGGGTTCCACTGTGGTCCCCCATCCTGCTCATTGCTTCTCACTTTGTACTTCTAATGCTCCTTGTGGGTGATGGATATTCAACTGAATGCCACTTTGCTCCCTAAATTAATGCTTGAATAGTTAAACAAACATTAACAAACTGTTAGCCTTTACACAAATATCTCATTTTTTAGCCATCTAGTCCCTGGATGTCACGGCCAAGCTGGTTGCCCTGGTGATGTAACATTCACCTCTGGACCAGCCCTGCATTATCTATGATACTATGACATTCCTTCATTGTGGTGTCAGAAAAGTGGTGCCTTTGTGAAGGATGTATTATTAGTATATCATTGTTCAGATGATGTGCTGCCTGCCCTGTCACATTGATGGGACTGACAGACTACATGAGATACCTTCTCAGTAATAACCCAGTGTGCACCTTGTTGGACACTTCACAGATGCTAGGGGATAATTTTAGCTCCCACCATGTCTGTTCTTCCTTGTCACTTCTTTTCAGCAGCACTCCTGCACTGAGCTGATACCTTGTGCTGTGTCTCACAGGGGGAAATGGCACTTTCAAGATGATCTTTTATACTAAGGAGCAGTCTCAAATATAAACAGACTCAATCAGTTCCTTTTCCTGGGATTAGCATAAAACTTTCCTTTACACATTTGGGCAATAAATAGAAGATGGATGGCCTGAATCACCTCTGTATTATTCCAATATAAACCTGGAACAGCTGGAATAATACTACAGTCAGTCCAGCCTGTTGCATTTTTTCTTTCAACTAAGTTTTATTAATGCTCTCCTACGGGGCTGAGTAAACAGGT